CTCACTCCCCCCATCCCCCTTCAGCGCTTCAGCTTCTAATCCCCCCTCCCCATCCCTCTGTCCCTCGTGTTTTTTTACAGCAATTATTTTATGAGCGATCAGCTCATCATTTTAATTTGTTCATTTTGTTAATTTCAGATAACTTACAGACAGATTTAGTGGCACAAAAAGGTTTTTTGTATTATTTCAGCATCAGTCTGTGTTTCTCTTCGTCTCTTCATATGAATCATAATTAACCATTAAACTGCTGGAGGAAGTGAGTCTCAGGTGTCTTACTGCTCATGCCTGATCAGGAAATCTTTGATCCACCCAGTGGGTCTCGTAAGCAAATCGTGAACATGCATTAATCCCAGATTATTTACACCTGGCTTGAATGAACCACCCTAATTGAGCGCGGCTTGGTTTTAGAGCAACTGATCACGGCTGTTTACAAGTTGAAGTCTAGTTCAAGCTCGGCTTACAGCTCATATCCTGAATTTAGAAATCTGACTTTTGTGCAGTAGGCCTCTGCTTTTGTAGATGTGTCCTAGTTTGTAACCTATGATGATGTCACTTCATCAAAGTTTTCAAATCTAATCCCTTTCCCGGGACGAACAACTCACGGAAGACCTTAACAGAGGCTGACCAGTACAACATGGCCTCCAGAATCATGACAGTACTAAAACCCATTCACCATTTTTAGATGGTGATTTCATGAAAAAACCACGTTCTTGGCACAAAGATTTGGTTCTGTAGTGTTCCAGTCATCATCTTCAGCATGCACCAGCCAGCACTTGCAAGTCAGAAGGTAGAGTTCTTAACTAGATGAAAGTAAGTTTTTCTCTGGGATATAAAGTTAAGGAGTTTAAATAAATTGGTGTCTTGTTCACTGGTGATAGTGGGATGGAGCAAAAATATAAAACTACCATAATTATGCGTATATAATATGGGGAATTTAACCCCTAAAATCATCCATAAAGTTGAGGGGTCGTATTATCATCAAAGCACATTTTAATGAATAAATACACTCATCAGTCTTTGTCTGCAGTAATAAGGGGGTTGCTTTATTCTCAATGTAAAGGAAGAGTTCAGCCAAAAGGCAAAGCTCTCAATTTACTGACCCACCTACATTCCAGTCCTCACCTATATAGAGATAATGATCATGAGAACAAAGAACAACATTCCTGATGGATGGATGGATGGATGGATGGATGGAAGATTGATGGATGGATGGATGGATGGATGGATGGATGGATGGATGGATGGATGGA